TCAAGATATCTGAGTCTACAAACTTAGCCCTCCTTCATCATGTATCCAGACCCCACAACTCATTACCACATGTTGTGGTATCTCCTTGGATAAGTTGCTATTATCTCTTCACATTTACTTGGGCTTGTTACTGTCCATTTGGAGGGCTTCCTTATAGGTTGCTTTCTGCAAATGACACTAACAAAGATACTGTGTGCCTAGCAATGTATAGTAATCCCATGTAATCCTCCAGCAAAGTAATGTAATATAAAGAAATGTAACTCATGAGAATGATAATACCATTATTTCCACTTAGGTGAAATAACTGATATTCAGAGAGTAAAATAACCTGTCCAAAGTCAACAGCCAATACATGACAATGCAGGAGAGCCAGCAACTCTAGCTGCTGTAACAGCCAAACTCCAAAACCACAGTACCTTCACACAAGAAAAGTTTATTAATCACATTCTGACCCCCAGACATTGGTGACTCTTTTTAGCCAGGCCATTATAAAACATGCAATATTTATTACTCTCCAAAGGGATGGTGAAGGAGGTGCTGCAACCCCCAAAGCTTCTGGCTTCTTCCCTCAGTCCAGTAACAAGCAAGAATCACACGGTGTCCTATTCAGAGGCTAGAACAGCAACAGAAACGTGGGTATTTAGTGAACTCTACTAGTCTGCTCCCATCCAGAGACCAAGAAAAAGATTATCTTCATTGCCCTTGGTTACACTTAGCAGCAAAACTCAAGTTGGACCTTCCCTGCCATCTCCAGGACTTTGCTACAACCTTTGGCCTTGTCTCCATTCTTACTACTCTGCTGTCCTCTCCTCTCCTTTCTCCTTCTCTCTCCAATTCCCTTCATTGCTTCTCACTGCCTAGTCCTATTCTGAGTCTTCCACCTTCCCACCTAACCTGACAGTCTATCTTGCTGTTCTTCTGACAGTCTACCTGATCTGCTCTTATCCCCTGACCGCTAGTGTTGTTGCAATTTGAGTGTGCTTGTATTGGCTTTTCACCTTCAACTTGTGACATTTGTCACTTTTTAATGTTCTAAATAACTATTTTTAAAAGAATGTGCTAATAATATACACATATAAACTGATCAGCTCTGTGGTTATCCAACAGTAGAACAAATACAGCCACAGCATATATATTTAGACGCTTTTCTCCACTGAACTAAAGATGATTCCTTTTGCAAAATTATGGTTACAATTTACATGCAATTTTGTAACCTGAAATTTTCTCCTTATACAGATTAAGCCTATAAATTGCCCACTCAAATCATATTGATCAGTCTCAGTCTTTCTAAGAGTTCCTTGCATTTACACTGAATAGATGTACTATTACAGATTTTGCCAATCCTTTTATTCTATTTATTTATTAATGTATTTATTTACTTTAATGCCAGTCCTAAGCTTGAACTCAGAGCCTGAGCTCTGTCCATGAGCTTTCTTGCTCAAGGCTAGTGTTCTACCACTTGAGCCTCAGCTCTACTTCCAGCTTTTTGGTGATTAATTGCAGATAAGAGTCTCACAGACTTTCCTAACTGGGAAAGCTTTCAAGTGAAATTCTCAGATCTCAGCCTCCTGAGCAAATAAGATTACAGATGTGAGCTACTGGTACCAGGCTCAAACTTAGCCCAATCCAACTACTGAAATTAATTTTTCATTGTCCTTTGCTGATCCATATATTCCCATTTGTTTCTATTTGTAGGGTAGGAAATAACCAGAGGGGGGGGAAAGAGAACACAGGCATAGGAGTCCACCTGATCCTTAAAGGCCATCTCAGCCCCAGAGGCTGCCTGCAGAGCCACAGGATTTCATGATCATCCTGACAAGATTTCTCTCCTGCCCTGGTCTGACCCACCCTTCCATTCTATGCCCCTGTTTCTTCCTTTCTGAATGAGAATATATACCCTATGCCACTGTAATCCAGAAGTACATAACATGGTCAGGTCTCTAACACTTAAACCAGATTCCATTGTGCTTTAGTTATTCTCAAAAAAGAGTTATTTTAAAGGTAATGAACAAGGGTAATCCCTTTTTGAGGAACATTTATGTTGTTTTTAATTTTTTGTTATTATAAATCATGCAATGTTAAGCATCCCTGTGAAAAGCCATTGGCATAGTCAATTCATTTTGTTATGTGTATTTTAATCTTTGCAAATGTCAAGAAGTAAAATAGTCTTTTATTGATCATCCCATATTAGCTGTATAATCAAACATATTAACTGCCCCCAAGCCATGGAATTCCCATTTATTAACTGGACAGTGTAACACTGCCCACCTTACAAGACTTTTGTTTGCATTAAGTAAGGCAAAAGTATTTGGCTCCTCAGGTTAGCAAAACGAATTACAGATTATTGAATTATCTGGATTTCTTTGCTCAGTGAGATAAGAATATGAAAATACAATTTCTTATGTATTATATTTCTTTCTCACACACTGTGTGTGTGGTGTGTGTGTGTGAAAGAGAGAGAATAGAGTCGTTGATACTTCCTTTATAGTGGGGATTTTTGCTGTTCAGCATGTTAATCCTTTTCTATTTTAGATAATGGTTTACAAAGAAAATAGTTTATTGTTTATTTGGGTAGGACATGAGTTCCTTCATTAGTATCAATGAAAATGCATACTAGATTAAAATGGGGTGGGGTTTTTATACCTAGACTTATGTCCTATAATAAAATAGGCAAACTCCTGTCGGGTTTTTTTTTTAATGTGTTTCATTGTTTTATTCTCCTTGCTCTGGGCTGCTTGCTCCTCCCTCATTACACACTGTTCTAGACATAGTCATTGTTACTTGACAAGCAGGGCTCTTTTCTCATGGATTGGTGCCTGTAGCTTAGCAGTTATTGAATTTCAGTATCACCCCTGTGCCAACATAGGCACAGGCAGAAAGGCAAACTAGGGAGGATGGGAAGGGATGGGAAGGGGAAACAAAGGAGGAAGGTACAATGCTTGATAAGAAATGTACTCATTATCTTGCCCATGTAATTGTAACCCCTCTGTACAGTATTTTCACAATAAAAAAAGAAATAAAAAAGCAAGGCAATCTAATTAGAGGTCACTGAAATTTCCAAATGATCACAGTAACCAATAAAAAGTAAAGCTGATAGGTCATCTCAACCATGTAATCAGCTTCAACTGGACAGGTTGTACTAGCCTTTGGCTTTAAGATGACACTTTTGCAATCCTATACTTCACCATGGCATCCCTATTCGAAGATTTTTCAAACTTTGTTGTTCTCTAAGTTAGCAATTTATCTCGTAGTTATTCTGAGAACACCCTGAATGGTCAACCTCCCAATCATAACTGGTTATGAATACAATATACAGCAAAAAGGAAAATATTGCTGACAACTTTATAGGAAATTAATTTTTCATTGTCCTTTGCTGAGCCATATATTCCTATTTGTTTCTATTTGTAGGGTAGGAAATAACCAGAAGGGAAACACGGGCATAGGAGTCCACCTGAATCTTTAAAGGCCATCTCAGCCCCAGAGGCTGCCTGCAGAGCCACAGGATTTCATGATCATCCTGACAAGATTTCTCTCCTGCCCTGGTCTGACCCACCCTTCCATTCTATGCCCCTGCGTCTTCCTTTCTGAATGAGAATATATACCCTATGCCACTGTAATCCAGAAGTACATAACATGTTCAGGTCTCTAACACTTAAACCAGATTCCATTTTGCTTTAGTTATTCTTCAGATAGGGTCCTTGGTTTTTTGACCAGAGCTGACCTTAGACCATGATTCTTTTACCCACATCTCCTCATAGATGGAATCACAGCCACATGCCACCACACCCACTTGTTTGTTGAGATTGGGTCTTCTCTTTTATCCCCTGGTTTGTCTTTAAACCATGATTCTCCCAATTTCCACCTCCTGAGTAACTGGGATTAGAGGTAGGCATTACCATATCTGCCCCTACTCCTTTGATTGATTGATGGATTGATTTTTCAGAGTTTTACTATGTAGCCTTGTACTCACTCTGTAACCCAGGTTGACCCTCCAGCCATCTTCCTCTGCCTGTAGAATTACAGATGTGTAGCACCATTCCTGGCCTGTTTTGCATAATGAGGTGTACATGAGGACTTGTGGGTGAGGGGGAGAATGTTATAGCTTGAATCTCAAATATCCCCCAAAAGACATGTGTCAAAGCCTTTGTCACCAGTTAATGGTGCTGTTGGGAGGTGGGGTCTAGTTGGAAGAAGAAGATCATGGGAGGTCAGGGGAGATGTGACCCTGAAGAGTATATTGGAACATCAGTCCCTTCCTCTGTCGCTCCCTGTCTCTGTCTGTCTGCCTGTCCATCTGTCTGTCTCTGTCTGTCTGTCTCTCTCTCTCCCCCACTTCTTGGTTGTCATTAGGTGAGCTGCTTTGCTCCACCAAGTGCTTACTCTTGTGGGGTTCTGCTTACCACAGAAGTGTCCATGGACCTCTAAAACCATGAGCCAAAATTAAGTTTTCCTCCTTTTAAGTTGATTTTCTCAGGTTTTTGTCACAGAAGGTTAATATACTAGTATTTCCACATACTTTTGCTCCTGATGTTTCAAAAATAGATACCACCTCTGCTCTTGTCCTAATTCATACAATGAAATGTTCTGAACAACCTATAATAGAGAATGTGTAAGTTATGAGGCCTTCAAAACTAAGGGATACAGACTTATCATCTCTAATTCCAAACCCCAAATCTGATATGCTCCAAACTCTGCAAGTTTTGAGTGACAATATGAGGCCACACACAGGAAATTGCATACCTGACCTCATACAAAATGTAGGCATACCACTATGCATAAAGTTATCTTTAGGCTACATGTAGAAGCTGTATATGAAACATGAATGAATTCTATGTTAAGCTTCAGTTCTATCACCAAGATATAATGCATAATGAGATATTATGCATATGAAAATATCCCCAAATCTGGAGGAACCATGAATTCAAAACACTTCTGGCCTCAAGGTTTTCAGTTAAGTAATGCTCAATCTGTATTTTACAACAATTAAAAATACTGGCCAAATACTTACCTGGCAGGAGAGATACCATGATCATGAAGATGGTTTTCCCAGTTGAGGCTTATTTATTGCACTCCAAATGTGCTGACCCCTGTGATTTCCCAAATGTGGGAAACTTGACTACATTATTTGTGGTAGTGGGGGACTGGGTTTGTGCTCTCCCCTGAAAAAAAATAGTTGCCAGCTCCCATACCCCCCACAACACACACATGCATACACATAAGTAATTGAAGCTAATGAAAAGAGAAAAGGTAGCCAGGAATGATGGTGCACAGGTGAAATCATAGCAACTGGAAAAGCAAGACCCTATCTCAAAAACAGAAATACCACCAATGAAGGCATGTGATGCTCATAAATTGGCAGGTGGAATTGAAACCCATTTGGACAACTAGTTAAAGATAATAGGGTTCAAATGGTATGGAGCATCATGCATGAGGTATTGGGTTCAATAGCCAGGAAGAAGGAGGAGAAGGGAGAGCAGCAGGAGGAGGAGGAGGTAGAAGAGAAGGAGGAGGAGGAGGAGGTAGAAGAGAAGGAGGAAGAGGAAGAGGAGGAGGAGGAGGAAGAAGAGGAGGTAGAGGAGGTGAAAGAGAAGGAGGAGGAGGAAGAGGAGGAGACCTTAGCCGTCTGTTTGTTGGAGAATGTAGTGGTCACAAATCAGCATGTACCAGTTCCCATGTTTTTGCTTATACACAAATATTATCACACATCCATATGCACAAATTCATACACACATATCATGAGGGGTATGCACCAAAATATTACCTGAGATTCCAAGTGAGTTTCCATTTCTCTTTTTAGCTCATCTGTATTTTTTCACTTTTCTATATTGAGCATAAATTTACTTCTTCAATGTAAAATTGTATTTGAGGGATTTTTTTCAAGTAAAAGAAGAAGCCAATTTAACTGGCTTAACTACATGTGGCATCCCTATCAGTTATAACTAGAAACTTCTACTGTAGAAGACTTTCATATTTGTTTTAATTTAGTAGTTTAATAATAATCAGTAATGCCTAGCTAGAGCAATAAAACAAGATGCAAACATACAGAGGATCCAAATAGGGACAGATGAAGTAAAACTCTCCCTCTTTGCAGATGACATGATCTTGTATTTAAAGAACCCTGTGGACACTATTCCCAAGTTACTTGAGCTGATCCGAAACTTTGGCAAAGTAGCAGGGTATAAAATTAACCCTCAAAAATCAATGGCTTAAAACAATTCTAGGAAAAAAGACAACACGGGAAGGATCTCAATGCCAGACTTCAAACTCTACTATAGATCCATGATAACAAAGACAGCTTGGTACTGGTCCAAAAACAGACCCAAAGACCAATGGAATAGATTAAAAGATCCAGAAATAAAACCACATGCTTACAGCCAGCTGATAATTGACAAAGGAGCCAAAGACATACAGTGGAAGAAGCACAGCCTCTTCAGCTACTAGTGCTGGGAAAACTGGGTGCCACATGCAGAAAACTAAAAGTGGACCCCAGCTTGTCACCATGCACTAACATCAACTCAAAATGGATTAAAGACCTTAACATCGAACCTGATGCTCTGAAACTACTGCAGGACAGAGTAGGAGAGACATTTGAACTTATAGGCACAGGCAGGAACTTTCTGAACAGAGTCCCAAGGTCACAACAAATTGGAGAGAGACTGGACAAATGGGACCATGTTAAAATAAAAAGTTTCTGCACAGCTAAAGACATAGCAACCAAGCTAGAAAGACAGCCAACTAATTGGGAAGAAATATTTACCAGCAATATATCAGACAAGGCCTAATATCCAGTATATACAGGGAACTCAAGAAACTATTCCCTAACAAACCCATTACTAAATGGGCAAGGGAACTTAAGAGACACTTCTCAGAAGAGATAAAAATGGCAAACACATTAAGAAATGTTCACCATCCCTGGTTGTAAAGGAGATGCAAATTAAAACAACCCTGAGATACCACCTTACCCCAGTCAGAATGGCCCGCATCCTAATTTCAGCCAACAACAAATGCTGAAGGGGATGCAGAGAAAGAGGAACTCTACTGCATTGCTGGTGGGAATGTACACTAATACAATCACGTTGGAAAGCAGTCTGGAGGGTCCTCAGAAAGCTAAATATTGACCTCCCTTATGACCCAGTCATACCACTCCTAGACATCGATCCTGAAATCCAGGATACAAGTACACATGCACCTCCATGTTCATTGTGGCACTGTTAACAATAGCCAAGAAATGGAAACAACTCAGATGCCCCACTACAGATGAATGGATCCAAAAATTGTGGTATGTATATACAATGGAATATTATGCAGCCATTAGAAAGGAAAAAATAATGGCATTCACAGGGAAATGGATGGAACTAGAAAAAATCATGTTGAGTGACGTAAGCCAATAGTAAAGAGACAAAGGACACATGGTCTCCCTGATATGTGGATGTTAAATCCAAAACATAAAGAGATACAACAAAGTAAACAAGACTTGAGGAACAAAGGACGTGCGCTCATCTGGTCAAATCATTACTAAATGACTCCATGCTGCTGACCACATATGTGGTATATATGTGCTCATCTGAGGGAAACTAGGAGGACACAGAAATAGGGAAACAGGAAAACATGCAGCAGTGGGACCCATCAGCTGCACTGGACACTGACCAAAATGAACTAAGCAACTCAAGGGCATGTTGGGAGGGAGGGAATGATAGGGAAGGAGGGAACAGCTGACACTAAGCAAAAGGAAAGAAATGTACATATCATCCAATGTGGAAGAAATAGCTGTATTGTCAAAGCTCATAGAATTCACAAACTTTATAGACCACAATAAAGACAATTTGCCCCATGAATGTTAGAATGTGTTTGTGACTTTAACGAAGTATCCCTATCTCACAAGACTATGAAATTTGTGAAATTTATGTAGTCACTTAATCAGAATAAAAAAAAAAATGCAATGGCTTTTCTGTATGCCAATAACGAGAAGAGCGTGGCTGAAATCAGGAAAGCAACTCCTTTGGTAATAGCCCCACAAAAAATAAAATACCTAGGAGTTAACTAAAGAAGTGAAGGACCTTTATGATGAAAACTATAAAAATCTGAAAAAAGAAATTCAAGCAGAACTAAAGAAGTGGAAAACCTCCCATGCTCCCAGATTGGAAGGATTAACATCATGAAAATAACAATACTTCCCAAGGCTATCTACAAATTCAATGCAATACCTATCAATCTCTCAACTTCTTTCTTCAAGGAAATAGAAGAGGCAATCCAAAAATTCATACGGAACAATAAAAGACCCTGAATAGCAAAAATAATCCTTAGCAGAAAAAAACAGTGCTGGAGGAATAACAATTCCAAACTTGGAACTCTACTACAAAGCCATAGTAATCAAAACAGTGTGATACTGGCACAAGAACAGACTTGAGGACCAATGGAATAGAACTGAAAACCCAGAAATGAACCCACAAACCTACAGTCACCTAAGCTTCGATAAGGGAGCTTAAAAAAAAAAAGAATGGAAGATAGCCTGTTTAGTAAATGGTGCTGGCAAAACTGGTTTAACACCTGTAGAAGACTAAAGCTAGATCCTTATATATCACCCTGCTCCAGAATCAACTCCAAATGGATCAAAGACTTCACAGTCAAAGCAGACACCCTGAAAACATTACAGGAAGGAATAGGAGAAACCCTAGGTCTTGTTGGCACAGGCAGAAATTTTCTTAATAAAGACCTAGAAACACAACAAATCAAAGAAAGGTTGGACAAATGGGATTGCATGAAACTGCAGAGCTTCTGCATGGCAAAGGACGTAGCTAGCAAGATCAGTAGAAAGTCCACAGATTGGGAGAAGATCTTCACTAGCCATACAACAGACAAGGGTCTCGTATCTAAAATATACTTGGAACTCAAAAAATTAAATCCCCCAACAACAAATCCTCAAAGAAACAACTGCCCAATAAAAGACTAAGGACTTAAAGAGAAATTTCTCTGAAGAGGAAAGAAAGATGGCCAATAGACACATGAAGAAATACTCAAACTCTCTAGCCATAAAAGAAATGCAAATCAAAACAACATTGAGATACCACCTCACTCCAGTTAGAATGACTAGAATCAAGAACTCTAATAACAACAGATGCTGGAGGGTATGTGGACAGAAGGGAACCTTACTGCATTTTTGTTGGGAGTGTAAACTTGTTCAATCACTTTGGAAAGCAGCATGGAGGTTCCTCAAAAGACTCCACATAGAGCTCTCCCATTACCCAGCAATCTCACTTTTGGGCATTTACCCAAATGATCACAAACAAGACCACACTAAAGGTAACAGCACAACTATATTTATCACAGAATTATTCACCATAGCTAAGATATGGAACCAACCCAGATGCCCCTCAGTAGATGAATGGATCAAGAAAATGTGGTATATATACACAATGGAATTCTATGTCTCCATCAGAAAGAATGACATTGCCCCATTTGTTAAGAAATGGAAAGACTTGGAAAAAATTATATTAAGTAAAGTAAGTCAGGCCCAAAGAAACATTGGTCCCATGGTTTCCCTTATTTGCAGCACATCTAGGTAATCTTACCAGACAAGCAGCAAAGCTCAAAAGCTATGTGCATATGACCAGATAAGCTGATGTTAAGTGAAATGAACCCCAAGACAGGGACACAAGAGTTTTTTATCTTTGTTCCTGTTGTTTTTAATGTACTTATAATGTACTATGTGATTTTTTTTTGTTTCTTTTGTATGTTCTTCCCCCATGGTATAACTCCTGTTTTCACTGTATTTGATTCCTGTGTCCTGCATCTTGTATATACATTTTTCTAATTTGGAGAGGGGAAGGGAAATAACAAAATGCTGAAACAAGGATACAGGTTGACCCATTGTAACAATGAGATGTACAAGACACTATGTTGAAAATGAACTTTACAACTTGTGACGGTAGGGGAGGGAGGAGTTGGGGAGGTTGGGAGGGAAGAGATGGTAGGGGGAAAACAAAGGAGGGGATAACAATGCTCGATAGGAAATGTACTCATTACCTTACTCATGTAACTGTAACCCCCTCTGTACAGTATCTTTACAGTAAAAATATATATTAAAAATAATAATCAGAAGAAGCCCAAATCCTTCCTTTCTTTTCATCCTGCCTTTGAGACAGGCATTTCTAATGCTTAGCTT